TTTTACTAGTGGTATGTCTCTCCATGTCCCATAGTTTTACTAGTGGTATGTCTCTCCTTGTCCCATAGTTTTACTAGTGGTATGTCTCTCCATGTCCCATAGTTTTACTAGTGGTATGTCTCTCCATGTCCCATAGTTTTACTAGTGGTTTGTCTCTCCATAGTTTTACTAGTGGTATGTCTTTCCATGTCCCATAGTTTTACTAGTGGTTTTACGCTGGGGAGCAAAGAATATGCCTGCCGTGATACTGCGTGTCATAAGAGGCGACTAAAGGTGGACAGGTCTGGTCTCCGAAAAATGCCAGTTTGCGGAGGGCCAACTACCTGACCCAGTAAAAACAATAAGTTACAGAAACACAGACAAACACTTCTTATTTTTCCATCTTGGGAGACGGAGGAGCTTTTGCATCAACAGGAACAATGAAGGACAGCGGACAAAGCCAAAAGGACTCTCCTGACCCGAAACCTTCTCTGAGGAACAAGTCTCTCGGGATTGCGTCAGGGAATGTTCGCACCTTGTATGAAGCAGGAAAGAGTTCTCATGTGACACAAGAGATGAAGAGATACAGGCTGCACATACCAGAAGTCACAGAAACACACTGGATACAGTCTGGACAGAAGCAGCTTAGCTCATACTGAGCACCAAATTTTTTGTTCCAAGACTTTTCCAAGAATTTTCAAGACCAGATTTCTTTTTTCCAAGACAAATAACGTGTCATTTCGTAAGAAAATTTTTCGTTCAGCGTGCAAAATACATGATGGTACACTTGAGAATGCGTAAGTCGAGGCCTTCTAAACTTCGAGGAAATATTTTTACAATAGATTTTTTCAAAATTTGTTTTTCCACAATTTTTCCAATTTCCCAAAATTCCAAGAGTTTTCCATGTCCCAATACACAGAAGGACAACGGCGGAGTGCAAGAACTGCACAACCTGGTAGGTTTGTAACTTACAACTGAGTTACCTTAAATATCCTAACTCAACCAAGAAGACACGGAGGCAAGTCAACAGACCAACCACAATCGTAATAGTTTTTACGAAAGAAGTCAATTTGATGAGGAAGCAACAGGTCAACCACAATCGTAATATTTTTTACGAAAGAAGTCAATTTGATGAGGAAGCAAGAGAGGAGCATTTGGAAAGAAGCGACGTCCAAAGAAGTATAGAAGATTGCAAGCCCTGGACCAGGTGGAGAAAAACACCAGAGACTCCGGACACCATTGAGCTGATTCAGTTCAGTCACACAAGTCCCACCAAAATTCTCAACTTCATAAATTTGTTACCATCAAGTTGCATTTTACAGCAGTCACCACAACAATAAAAGCATTTTGCCAGCATCCAACTACAACAACAGAAACAGAAAAAGTAGCAGATGTCGTCACCATTGTCCCCCCAACCACCCACAGAGCCTCAAGGTCATTGTCATGTACATCTGTCCAAACATCTGTCTATGGACAAGTGAAGACAAATATATCCTCACCTCTAACACACAAACATCTGTCTATGGACAAGTGATGACAAATATATCCTCACCTCTAACACACAAACATCTGTCTATGGACAAGTGATGACAAATATATCCTCACCTCAACACTTTCCTCTGTGTGTGTGTGTTCGAACGTATGTTCATACGTATGTACCCATGTATATCAATGTACATATTTCAACGAAAGGTTCTCATTACTGGCTTATAAAAAGCGGAGGAAAAGAGTACCGTGTGCCTGTGTGTTGAGGTCTGCCCGGTGGTCCAACAGAAACTGCAGAGCGTCGTGCTGAAAGAAGTGGACAGCATACATGAGGCCAGTGCGCCCCAGTCCATCGATGCAGTCTGCACAGCCTGGGTCTGACAGAAAACGGGAGAAGAAAACTAACAAATGACAAATAATAAATAACAAAACTAACAAATGACAAATAATAAATAACAAAACTAACAAATGACAAATAATAAATAACAAAACTAACAAATCAACAGATGAGCAACAGATTCCTGAACACCCATCCCATTGAGGCCACAGTTGACAACACCAATCCTTGCAACTGGCAAGAGCACTGTCACTTTCACACACCCCCCCCCCCCTTTGCCACCACAAACACCATCCCTGCCAACATCACAATCCACATTACTGCTACCACACATCACAATCCACATCACTGCTACCACACATCACAATCCCCATCACTGCTACCACACAGCACTGCTACCACACATCACAATCCCCATCACTGCTTCCACACATCACTGCTACCACACATCACAATCCCCATCACTGCTACCACACATCACTGCTACCACACATCACAAAATCCCATCACTGCTACCACACATCACAATCCCCAACACTGCTACCACACATCACTGCTACCATACATCACAATCCCCATCACTGATACCACACATCACAATCCCCATCACTGATACCACACATCACTGCTACCATAAAGCCCCACAAATAACTCATCGGTTCCTTCCTTCCCTTTCCTCCACTGCTCACCCTGATGTAGAAGATCATTTATCAGCTCCACATCGCCACATTTCACAGCGTTGATAACCGGCGGCAGCACAACGAAGTTAAGGCTTTCGCCGAGCGCCATGTTGGACGGAAGACGTGTGTTGTCCAGGTTGATCCATCTCCACAAAAATTTGTCCGGGGCGTCCACAAAGGGGGTCATAGGACTTAACCCGCGCGCCGTCAGGGAGAGCGTGTTTGCATGTTTCTCTTGCGATCGGTTCTGAATCAACCTGTACACAAAATTAAGGTCTGCATTGTCAAAAGGCAAGTCATTACATTGAAATTATCAGTTTGTATAAATTGTTCTTTTCCCTTTGGGTCAAAGCTTACTACGCCACTAGAATACTTCCTTTTGAGGGTGGCCTCCAATACTGAGTTTGTTTTAGAAAGAGTTTTCCAGTACTGGCAACATAATCAGGTCATATAAGTGCCGAAGATTAGAAGTGTTACGAGGGAGTAACAAACACAAAAAAGAAGGAAGAGAAATAAGAAAGACAGCTGTTTGACATGAAAGAAGGAGCAAACCACATCAGAGCACCCACCAAGTACCTGCATACTGAGGTTGTTTTAGTCAACTATTTCGTTGAGAAAGTTCATGAAGACATTATTACAAACTAGCTGTGAAGACAAGAGGCTACCATTGACCATTACAAGGACACTACAAACATACTATCCAGTGTCTAAGCTATTGTGCTCAGTGTTTCCACTAATCGCCATCCCTTTAGGATCTGGGAATTTACGGTGGTAAAAAAAGTTTCTTGAAATAATGATGAAAAGATGGCCTAATCAATAAAGTTTGGCAAACAAAATCAGAGGAAGACTTTGCACCTGACAATCAGTTCATTCACAAAAAACCACCAACAAAAGAGCTATACCTGTAGTACTTCTGCATGTGCAGCAGCGCCAAGTTGAGGGTGTCGCGCACTTCAGCACACTCCACATCTTCATTGAGCTTGAGGAGGAACTCGTGAATGAAGGCAGCTGCCTTCTGGAAGTCTGAAGCAATAATAACAACAAATAACAAGCACAAGATTAGCATGAAAAAAACAGTAGCTGGAAGTACAATTGACACATTACTCTGGTTACTCTTAGGTATCGAATAAGCCATGTGAAACATTATCTCGAATCGAGACATCTAGATCTAGGTTTTTGCAACATAGCCCTTAAAACCGCCTGAATCGATCGAGACTTACTTTATTACGATGCCCGACCGCTTATTAGATCTAGTAAATGTACAGGCAGATCTAGGCCTACTCTTGGCGTGGCCCTCTCAGGCTGCACTGGCTGCGGTTTCGTACTGGGCTACATGGTAGACACGACAAGTAGGCCTTGGCCTAGTTTCGCATTCACTCATAGCGGGGAAGAGGAAGGTGGGGTAGGGTGGGGGGTTGCGTGAGACAATTGATAATGACTGACCGGCTGTTTCTTGCCTTAGGCCCTACCGCACTAGGCCTATGACAGTTCGTCCCAGGACGGACCCGTCTGACGTTTGAAACCTTTGAACTGGAGAGTGTGATGTACCGCACCTATTATTGAGACAGGACATTTTTGTTGCATTGAGTCCCGAGCAGTTGTGAATTGCTACAACATCGGTGGGACAGGATGATCTAATACTGTTTTCTCTTTCTCTTTTTTCTAATACGAAGCAACAGAGCACAGGCACATGTAGCCTCGATTCATCCACCTTGAAGACACAGTCTTGTATCTACATGTATCTAGGCCAAGCGCACGCCAAATTCAAATAGTGAAAAAAAAAACACTAAAGACAAAACTCCCAAAAAATAATTTAACTTGGTAATCGGGCATTAAATTGTATTGTGTTCCCCAAGTAATTTTTGCTAATTACAGGTCGCTGATTACGAAAATCTTATTATTTCTTCAATTTGGCCAGTATTTAAGAAATTTTTGGAAGGCATTTTTAACTCCACCTAGGCCAACATCAAAGAAGCCACCTTATGTGCCGGATCAGTGCTGTCCTGGTGCGGTGTCTGCTTTGAAGCGAAAAACTCAACTGTGGGCCAGGACAGCCCTAGGCCTATCCCACGACAGGACTGTACTATAGTGCAGTAGAGATTTAGATTCTTGCCTCGATTCTCGGAGTCTAGGCTAGGGAACAGGCTAAAAAACCCTGGGCAGACTCGAAGCTCTGAGTCTGTGAACGAGATCGATTCTTTGAGTCCTCATTTGGACTCGAAAGAATCGACCCCAGAGTCAATCTTGCCCTGGCCTACTGCAAACACAGACTATTTTAAAAATAGGCTTAATGTTTAGATGCATAATAAATTTGGGAAACGAAGTGTACACAGATCACCCGGCAGCCGGGAACAAAGTTAGGAAGTATACAGACCCGGTAGGGGAAATCTTTTGTGATTTCGGAAAGTTTCAGCGCCCAGACCCGCTAGTGTGTGTGTGTGTGTGTGTGTGTGAGAGAGAGAGAGAGAGAGAGAGAGAAAGAGAGAGAGAGAGAGAGAGACAGGCCCAATTGAAATTATGACATTGTTCATTTCTTCAAATTGTGATTCCTCCAACTCCAAAACAGAGGAAAAACGATAGTTCATCGGAAAGACATCTGCAATCTTCATTTAGATTTAGATCTAGATTCTAGACTAGATCTAGATCTAGTTTTGAAAATAAATATATTATAATTATATATATCAATTACTTATATTTGTCTGTCTAGATCTAGATCTAGACCTAGAAGAACCTAGTTCTACCCTGAGCCAAGAGGGCGCTGAAACTTTCCGAAATCACAAAAGAGTTTCCCTACTGGGTCTGTTACCGGGTCCGTATACACTCCCTTTGGGCTTTGGGAAAATGTTAGCCCAAAAAATAAAATAATGAGCTTCAAGAAGGTAGATCTAGATCTAGGTCGGAAAGTGTGGGGGGGGGGGGGGCAGATTAATATGGGAAGATTGAAGAATACCGGACCACTCCTACATTATTGAGGGGGTCTCCCCCCTGACAAAATTTTAATGAATAGATGTACCTGTCCGAGATTCTCCTTTAAGACAAGAGATTAAAAACGGGGAAATTATGAATTCCTAAGGTTGAGACATAGGCAAAGTCAGTCCGCTGGTCCGGTATTCTTCAATCTTACCGATTAATATTAAAATGCTGCAATTAAAAGTAAGGGAACTATCCTCATTCATCTTATTACGTTTTTGTGATGATCACGCAACAATGCGAAACGAAGGTTTTCAGTCCCGTCGTGCGTGTTGGGGTCGCTATGGTAACGGAAATTTTAACAGATAAGGGATGCTCTCATCCGTTAACAAGATTCTTTGATCATGGACATCGGTGTGAGCACAGTTTTCAATGTGCTATTGGCTTATGTGCATTCAAATGATGTATAATACATTTAACGACAAGCAACTTCATAGACTTTTCAGTTTCACCTTGGCATCATGTCAACAAACATGGCGTCCATCAGAAGACTGAAAAAGACCTACCTTTCCGTTTTATGACCATTATTCGTCACATATTCGTTTGTTCAGGCACTACCTAAGTAATGCACACATTTTCAACTTTCAAAATCATGAGGCTATTGTTATAACACTGAACGTTTATTTCATCTACATGCTTAAACAGGCTTTTTAGTACTTTATTTGGACGCGAAGCCTACTTCGAAAGTTGAAATCAAGAGCAAGCTTTCACCCAGAATCCTTTGCTTATCCGGTTTGAAAAATATCATAGAAAGTAGTGCGCAGTCGAAGTCAAATTACTTATTTTGGGAATATAATGATGGTTTCTTTGCTTTTCTGCTAACAGATAACTATACTTTATTGAAAATAACAGCCAAGTATGAAAAAGTTGTCCTTTTTCTGACACTTGAAAATGAATATTAATACGCCTAAATAAGTCCGCCCTTCGTTACGGCCGCCATATTGGTCTTCTCTCTGGTAGTTTTGGGGTAGTCTCAAAATCTTTCATCATCGACATCAACTATTGTGTCAGAGGATTATTTATCTGCTGAATTTGATCAAAAGGTTGTCTTGGAATGGCCGATTCAGACAAACTTAACATAGACAGTATAATAGCACGACTACTTGAGGGTAAGTTTTGTGAGTTTTTGAGTTGTTACTGCTATCCCCAGTTGTAAGCCGAAGTAAACAAACCGCCAAGTTTCGTTCACAATCGGGCGGTTTGCAAGCAAAACCTTGTTCGGCGTCCCTCTTTATATTAAACCGTTTCCGTGTAGTTTGTTTGTATTTCGTTTTTATAATGAAAACATAGATCTATCTTGCTTCAGTGTCCTGTTAAGACTCCTGTATCAAGTCGGATAATTAATGTTCAGTTGGCTGAGTTTGTGTGAATTGTCTGTTAGGAAGAACGGTTCTGGATACCCTTTCATTTTACTAAAAATGTTCTGAACATAATGTTTAATGTTTTCTTTTACAAGCACTTATTAGTCCGAATGTCTTGTTGGTTCTCACATTGAGTCTATAGTCTATGCACCAACTCCGTTGAGATATGTGGACAAGATTTGGGAGGACTTCCGTAACGAGCGACCTATGAGACAGAGCAGAATTGAGGGGTAGGGTTAGGGTTAGGCCTCTTCTTTATTGTGTTAGATGGGGTGGTCGCTCGTTACGGAAGTCCTTCCCGAGATTTCCTGGTGGTTTCATTCCCAGTCCCAGGCAGGGCCCAGATGGGGTAACCTTTTTGTATTGAATTGTCGGTATTTTTTTACTTTCCCTCCCGTCTCACACTCAGCTACCAGTTGTCTATTTTCTACTAGATCTAAATATTGATGCGCTGAACACGAATATCAACTTCATTTCCGTCGCAAATTAATAGTTTTTGAAATATTTGATTGTTTTTAACCGAGATAGACATGCTTCTAAGGACCAATCGGGGGGTTCCAGGGGGGCCTGCCCCACTGGTGTAAAAGAAAATCTGGGGGGTTACAGGTTACAGGGGGGCATGCCCCCCTGTTTTTACATATAATTTGATATTTTACAGTTAGATTTGAAATTGTCTTGAAAATAATTGATAAGCGACAGTTTTAGTGGCTTTATGTAGCAATGCCAATTGCCCGCTGCGCCTTGTGCCGGAAATCGGCCTCCGCGCGAGGGGTATTTTTTGGGCCGCTCGGAATGAGAAGTGACTCTCTTCTAAGTTTAGTTACGGGAAAACTCCTAGACGAAAATAAATGAAACTCGGCAACCAACCAGAGGAAAGGTTAAACTAACGACATGCCAGCGTACAATCCCGAACGATTACTAGAACCGGAGATATTGCCGTGTTTGTGAGAATTTCCTCTGCGGTTCGAAAACTAAGTGGAGCTGCGGGTTGATCACCAACCACACAAGCGCCCCACATGTCTTCTTTATTGCTGTTAAATTTCAGATCTCTGCGTTTAGTAGATTTTCCGTACCAACTTAAAATTACCACCCACCCATTGATAAAACACTAGATCTAGAAACTTAATCGCGCATTCCAAACGCGAGGTGCCGGCATGCAAGAGGCGCGTGATCGCTAGGCGGCATGTGATTGGCTGCCTATAACCAAATGGGTCACCGATAACTACATCGCGGGTTTTCCCGATAGCGCTTTACTGAGTTTTAGAAGGGGTGATCGCGTCGCGGTAAAAACGATGTCACGCAATTCAACAAATTTCACGCAAATATCATTCTTTAAGATCCAAAGTAATGAAGACAACGAAAAAGTGATAGCAGAACTAGATTTGGCACTAAAAATCACATGGAGATGCCAAGTTTCATTCATATGCTCCCATTCATTACTGACTTATGAACAGTTTTTCCTCAAAATACATCAAAACATGTCCCACATTTTGGCGATTTTTTCCTATATGAAGGTCCTCCAACATTTTGCAAACAAAAATCCCAATAACTTTTTTATTTATCAATTGATTTTTAAAATTTAAAAACCACAGTTCTTAGAATTTACTCTAGTTTCATTTAAGCCCATTTTTAAGCAATTTGGATGAAAATTTAATTTTTCATTGTCATTGCTACTTTATGTGTGATCTGCAGCAAACAATACAGCAGTTTGACCCCTGAAACAGTGCATCTGTGTGCGGGAGTGAAAGTAAAAATTTACCGAATTGTCAAATAGCCTAGATCGAGTGAAACGGTGTCAAGTCTGAAAACAACACTATCTTTAGCTTTATACATAATGTGTGTCTAATGGGTGGGTCAATTTGTTCTCAACTAACTTCATTGGACGAGCATCTAGTCTAGAGCTACGGTACCAACTTTTGACTTGTTTTCAATGAGACGTAGGCCTAGATCTAGGCTAGCCTTAGCCTACACGTGTAGAACCAACACAGGCAATTCTAGAAGTAGAAGGTCACAAACGCACACAAACTCAAGCAGAAATTCACGTTATATCAGGGAACATAAAACGGGGGACGGGGGTCAGGAAAAGACACACACACACAGAGGGACAGAGAGGCGAACGCACAACACCGAGCACTCACTCGAGCCCAATAAGCTAGATCTGATCTACCCACCAACGCAAAAGAGCTCCAATTTACTCGGTGACAATTGACAAAAAGTCAATTTTTGTCAATTGACACCGCGTCACTCCACTACCTTGTGAAAATGGTTGTAACCCATTTGCCTTTGCTGAAGCGGTTCTAAACCCCTTTGCACAAATGGGTCGGACTCTCTTTCATAACTCGTTTGGGATAGGTTGTTTCCCTTGTTTTAGACTTGTTGACTTAGCCTTCAGACCTTGGGCATTGGTGTCAGAATATTTTTTGTTAGTTGACCTCTTTCTCTGGGTTTAAAGGGAGCACAATGTATTTCTTCCCCCTGATCTGACATGACAAACTGTGGCTTACGGGGTTTCTAGACTAGGCTAAAGGCCATTATACACTGGGCCTAGCAGATGATAGCGTAGTGATGAAGTTAATCACGACGCGTTGGGAGACAAGACAGGATTGGCAGCACGTGTGATGTCTGCGACTCGCGCCTTTAAACTTTGAAGGCTAAGAAATCCTGTAGCACGTTGGGTGTCTTAGATCTGTTTGTACTTTGACTTTTGTAGCTTAGGCTGCTGTTACATTTTCATTGTTCAGTATCTATATATATTTTTGGAGGTCGAGCGCGCGTGTGTGATTGGTGCGGGGTGCGGACCGGTATGTACCTATGCAGTTAACAAAACAACAACAAAAACAAAACAAACTAATCATATAGCTGGTAAAATTACTAGATCTAGATCTAGAATCTAGATCTAGATCTAGAATCTAGATCTATCACAGCTGCTTTCCTTAGCAATGCCAATGAAAATTTAAATTTTCACTTTTGCCCCCTTTTTTTTTTGGTACCTAAGAAAGAATTTTCAATTCTGATAATTATGCTTCTTGAATTTTGAGAAACGGTTCATAAATAAAAAAGTTATGGGGTTGTAAAGGTCGGCAAAATATGGATGACCCACATATAGGAAAATACTCCTAAAAAGTGGACCACGCAGTAGCAGATTCTGTAAGAAAATCGACGATATCTCGGTAACTAATCCAAATGTTCGAGAGAAACTTGGCTACCCGATGTGTTTTTGAGTGTAGAAATCATTTCTGCAGTCAGATTTACTACCAATTTCGTAGTTATTTTGTTATAATTAAAATTGTGGTGTACATATTACGATTTTGCGAAAAAGGGGTGTCGGGATGAGTCCATTTTATTTATAGCATCGTATCACAACATGGGATCTTTAAGAATATATGTCGGCAGCGTGACTAAATAATTGCAAAGCTTTTTATGATGGCTTTAGACCATGCCAACCGTAAAAGATAAGTTAATTCAATCTAGCATGCCGTACAATTAAAAATTCTTTTTCCCCGTTGAGACGCGAACACCCCGAGACGAGATAACCTCGCCTCGGAATACCCCCATTGCGATGTTACAGGGGAATAGAGAGAAAAACAACCGGATGCGCGCGCCCGCCATTGCCCTATTTCAAGTGACCAATGAACGGGCCCGAAATAGTCATGCGGGGATTTGTAAGTCACAGACATTTGCCACGGGAGTGAGGGGAAAATGGCCGGTCTCCGTGCGAAGCCGCTTTGGATAGGGGGGGTAGTCGTAGATTTACGATCGGGTCTAAACAACTACTTGACACAGAACTCTAAAATTTGAGCACACTATAGAGGATAGATAGATCTATTACCATCTGGGCGTTGAAATTCAAACTCCTTATAGTTTTCGGTGTACACGATACGAAAGTGTTCCCGACACCAAAAGTATATGTTAATTTATGTGTACGAACTTCAACGTCCACATATCATTAGTTTGCCCTATTTTCTGATTGGTAGCCGAGTTTCATTCGGATTGGTTCGGAAATAGAGCAGACCGAGGTTGACAAAGTTAGTCACCTACGCTTCGGCCGGGTCCGCAAAATCGCCCGTAAACGGGGACCAAATTTTCGTCTCGCGGGAAAGCCCGATTGGCATTGCTACTTTCCTACCCGATGGGGAGGGCTCGGTGGTAGTGGTATTGTGAATGACGTTAGTCATCAACACCTTCGCGCAAAGGCATGTTTGGGGGGAGGGGGTTGGGACCTTGACATGATTTGACGTCACATCCTGCCCGCGGTCGCTGTCGCCGGTACTGCGGTGGTGAATCAATTTACATACCACGTTTATTTTGTCCCAATGGATACTTTCTTTAGCAATGCCCACCGAGCGCGTTTTGTTCTGACGATTTTTGGCCCCCGCAGCGGGGGTGTTTCGTAGGACGCACTAACGCAAAGGTTGTTGTCTTCAACTCGCTCTCACGCCGCTTCTCGTGAATGGATATGAATGAAACTTGGCAGCCAATCAGAAAAGAGGTCAATCTCGTAGTATGTAGTTTGACAACATTGTACCCATCCTAGTAGCAGTGGAAAACATTTGCGAAAGTGGTTGATGTGGTGCGCTTTGAAGATTTTTCAGAGCTGTGATTTGTCAAACTGACTGATACGTTGTACACCATTTTTCTTTATTCCCTTAAAATTTCAAGCTTCTGTGTTTAGCGGTTTTCGCGTAATCTTTAAAAATGTGAGAGTAACTAAGGGAAAAAGCGACATTGTCATTTGCGCGTGCTGGGTGAATGGCCGGCGGCCTGGAAATTTCCACTGAGTGATGTCATCAGCCATCGGGCGCTACAAACGAGGCCCCGCTTATGTGAACCGGAAAGGGGGGGGGGGAGTATACTTGAAAACTGAACGGGGGCCTTGATAACTTGCATTTTTGTTGCATTTTAGTCACAATACAATAGATGTAGTCATTTTTATTTGCTTGATTGCATGACAGAAGAATAGAAACAGAAAAGCAAACATCTTGAGAAGTGGTATGGCATTGTGTTTGCGTTATGAAAGCCTATTCCCCCCTTTTGGGAAAGCACACACTTGGACTCGTCCTGTGTGCTCTGTTTGGAAAAGTGAGGCATTAAGATTGTTATTAAAGAGTATGGTACTTATTTAGTCCAGTCTGGGAAGATAGTCCCGTTTATACATTGTTATCGTTCACACGTGCGTGCGTGTGTGTGTGCGCGCGCGAGAGAGAGAGGGGGGGGGTGTAAATATGTTACATTTATTGTATGAGTTGTAACCTACACATGCAAAATATTCCCATGACTTGTAAACTATATTATCTGAACGCATCTTAATCTACCACACAATAGGACACTGTCCAACAATGGATATACACAGAGACGATCTTATTTTCTATAACAAAGTATGCATACTTTTACTAGTACAGAACTGGATTTATTAGACAAATAAATCCAGCTCTCTACTTACATTTTGTGACAAATTGATCCAGAGCATTGGCAAGGAGGAATCTTTTATGTTGCCAAGTTTCATTCAAATATCATGACTTTTGGAGATATATGACTAATAATCTTTGTAAATCTGTAAAGAACGCCACTTTTTTACCTGTTAATGTCTTTACAACTCAAAAAGTATGACATATTAAAAATCTGACTGCATGACTAGATTCTGCATTAAAAAATGTACTAGACTGCCAAGTTTCATTTACATATTCCAAGAAATAGGTGAGGTATGACAAATATTGTCTCAAAAGGCACCGAAAACCGCCACATTTTTACCTATAAACGTCTTCATAACTCAAAAAATAGGATAGCTAGGAAAAATCTGAAAGCAGAACTAGATTCTGCACTAGAAAATGTACTGGGTTGCCAAGTTTCTTTTAAATACTCCGAGAGATGAGCGAGTTATGACAAATATTGTCTCAAAACTCGCCAAAGAACGTCCCATATTTTGGGGGGTTTTCATTATATAAAAGTGTACCAGAAATTAATTGATTAAAAAATCCGTAACTCTTTTGTTTATTGATGGATTTCAAAAATTCAAAAAGTTCCATGCTCTGTGAAGAAAAAGCTACAAAATGCACATATTTGCAAACACTTTCTGGCAAAAAAAAGGTTTTTCGTGGTCATTGCTAGCTAATATGATTGATAATCTTTGTAAATCAGTAAAGAACATCACTTTTTTTACCTGTAAATGTCTTTACAACTCAAAAAGTAGGATAGATATTAAAAATCTGACAGCATGACTAGATTCTGCATTTTAAAAAACTGTACTAGACTGCCAAGTTTCATTTACATACTCCAAGAAATAGGCGAGCTATGACAAATATTGTCTCAAAACACCGAAAAACGCCACATTTTTGCCTATAGACGTCTTCATAACTCAAAAAGTTGGATAGCTATGAGAAATCTGAAAGCAGGACTATATTCCGCAATAGCAAATGTACTGGGATGCCATGTTTCATTTAAATACTCAGAGAAATGAGTGAGTTATGACGAATATTGTCTCAAAACTCACCGAAGAACGTCCCATATTTTGGAGGGTTTTTTTCGTTATATAAAAGTAAAAGTCTATAAGAAAATTAATTGATTAAAAAATTCGTAACTTTTTTGTTTATGGATGGATTTCAAAAATTCAAAAAGTTCCATTCTCTGTGGAGATACAGCTACAAAATGCTTCTATTTGCAAACACTTTCTGACAAAAAAAGGTTTTTCGTGGTCATTGCTAATTTTGTATAGAAAAATGGATGTCTTGTTTCCTGACAATCCCTTCGAGCTCCTCATGTCTAAGTGGGTCAGTTTGTTCTATAATTTCATTGGATGATGGATGAACCTCTAGAGCTACCGACCTGGCGTGTTTTGAATGAGACCTATGCCTCAATTACAAACGCAGGCGATTCTAGGCCGCAAACGCACTAAAACAGACTGATGCACACACACTTGAGCTGCGTGAATGCGGATCCGACGCGCGATCAGAATGACAGAAACCCAACCCCTGCAGGACGAGGGTTAAAGAATGTCAGTGTCAGGCCAGTAGGCTACAGTAATGTTTGAAGGAATGCTCAATGTTTTCATGTTGTCTCTATATTCTGATTTGATTTATTGTTAGTTAGTAAAGCTCAAAGTTAAACGTTTGCAAGAAATTCCTGACTATTATTTCTGTTTTGTCTACAGTGCGGGGATCCAGACCAGGGAAAAATGTACAGTTGACAGAAGCTGAGATCAGAGGCCTCTGTCTGAAGTCTCGGGAAATCTTTCTTAGTCAACCTATTTTGTTGGAGCTAGAGGCTCCTTTGAAAATTTGTGGTGAGTTTTTTCTCTTTGTCTCTGGTGTGGGGGGGTATAAACCCAGTGTGCAACAGGAGATGCATTCCCTAACCTCACACTGTACTGTGGGCTTCGGCGGAAGCACTTTTGTATGAAATATACCGCTGGTCGACTTTATCATTTAATTCCCAGTGCTAGAAACAGGGGATGTAACTCCAGATGACTGTCACGAGCAGAGAGTACCAATAATGTCATGAGAGCAGTTCTACACCGAAAGTTTGGAAATTTTGCGAGTTTTTAAGAAAAATTAGTCACTATTCGCTGCCAGGCCCTTCTGGCCGCAAAATATTTTACTTTTTTTTATCCTGAACCAGACCCCAATAATGATCTCCCAGTCGGATATATCGATAAATGTGACAGTTAAAGATGATTTCAATGTTGGCATAACATCGATGATGATTTTGACGATAGTGGAATTGGCAGGGGATCACCACTAAAGCTACCAGAGGCTAGATCTGCGACTGGGTCTAATGATACTTTGACTGAAGTGGAATCAGGGATCACACACAAGACTTAACTCTTAGAGTTGGTCCTAAAAACCAGTGTTTTTACCTTTTCCCCTTTTGTTCAGACTGTGCATTCATATATAAAGAACGTTTTCAAACTTCAGTAAAATCTAACAAAGACCATAAACAAAACAATGAACCAACCTAATTGTTTCTAGTATCTCAGTTTTAATTCAAGATTCTAGGGAGGTATGAAAAAAAAGAATTCAAGGTTTTAAGGGTTAATGGTTGTCTTCCTTTTTGACTTGATTGCAAGTTATGTGGCATTGTTTTCTCAAACTTTTTTTTTAAAAATCATTTTCGTAATAAAACTAAAATCTTGCCTTTTTTCCCCCAGGTGACATTCACGGACAGTACTATGACCTACTACGATTGTTTGAATATGGTGGCTTCCCCCCTGAATCAAACTACCTGTTCTTGGGTGATTATGTAGACAGAGGCAAGCAGTCCTTGGAAACCATCTGTCTCCTCCTGGCCTACAAGATCAAGTACCCTGAAAATTTTTTCCTGTTGAGGGGCAATCATGAGTGTGCTAGTATCAACCGTATTTATGGATTCTACGATGAGTGTGAGTTGCTGTCATTTTTTGTTCTGATGGGGGGGGGGGTGTACAGATGGGCACAGCTGCCAACCAAATGTATTAAATGTTTTTAAGGATGTGAGTGTGGAGTCTGGTTTTTGTGATGCTTTGTAGTTTAAATTTTTTGCTGAGGTAAACCAAGGTTAGTACATCTGTATTCTAGAAAACATAGCTTTGTCTTATAGGTTTTCTATCAAGTTGATGCTGGGTTTTTTATCCCGTACCTTTAATAAGCTTTTTTCTGCCAGCCTGTTGTTCAGATATCCCAAACTCCCCCGTGGCGGTGCTGTCTTTAGGCCATTCCCGAGGGGGGGGGGGCATTTCTCGTTCTAGTGCACAGTAGAATTGTAAATGGGCTGATCTAACAATGTCATGCTCACAACTGTGCCTGAACTAAAACAGGAAACTGCTGCTTTTTCTTTCCTAATCGTCATTTTCCTCTACTTCTTTTGTATGTTTGTCACAGTCTTGTGACACGCTATTTCCGGAGTGCCTTGATAGTCGAAGCAGACTTTGTGCTGCTGAAGCTAAATAGGTGTGCAGAGAAAGTCTGATTCCCTGTAAGGACTTCTCTGTAGACATCCACCCCTTGGTGCTCATATGACCTTATGCAGTTGCGAGCGCCGTAAAACCTCAACTAAAACACAAGACATCCGTATTGGAAGTTTCACACGTTAAAGATCCCATGACAGAACTAAAATCAAACAGAAAAGACCAATTGGCTAAAATCCGAAGCTACTTTAGTCTGTGTAAATATTACAAGCCCCTTCCAAAACAGCATGTGGCTGCCTGTTTGGCAAGGAATGGTTCAACTTTGTTTTGTCATTGTCCACCAAAACATGCACTGTGCTGTGACATGGTGTTCTAGTGAGTCACCACCTGAGCTCTAGCAGGGCTAGGCAGAGGACCTCACCCACACAGTGAATTAAAGCCCTTGTGTGCTTGCTTGTAAGTGACCTATTTTTGTGTGGCCTGGCTGTAGTGTTTTTGTCCTATTTCTATTGAGGTCAGCTTTGTAAGTGCAGAATGTACTTGATGATTATGCAGTTAGCTCCTCTACTTGTGTGCCATTTAAACTATTGTTTGCCTTTTTTTTTTTTTTTTTTTCATGCAGGCAAGAGGCGATACAACATCAAATTGTGGAAAACATTCACAGATTGTTTCAACTGCTTGCCGATTGCTGCCATTATTGATGAAAAGATCTTCTGTTGCCATGGAGGTTTGTCAACAGCTTTGGGGAGGGGAGGGGTGGGGAGAGTGTTGCACCTACACAGTGGAATCCGTGTTTGGGGGTTGCTACTTGCAGAGCTGCCCATCAGTACTATTTGGCAGAATCCTCAAGATTTTGATTCCATTTTACGAAAATAAGGTAGTTATGTCCCTGAATCCGATTTTTTTCAATTTCGCTGTCCCGACTCAATGCCAACCTTCCTGTATAGGGGAGAAAACTACCAGACCCGGACAGTCTAAGTCACTATGTCACGTACAGATGTCTAACTATAGCATCGACTTTGCCCTTGGAAAAACATAGACTTTAGAAGTGCCGAATCCAGGAGTAAGGGAAACACTAGGTTGGCTGGGTGTCTTTTTGTGCTGTGTGTGTGACAGCAAAGGCCAGTGACAGATTTTTTAAAATTTCTAACCTATTTTTTTTTTTTTTAAAAATAGATAATTGTTTGAAACTTAGTACAATAGCCCCCTAAGTTCAACTGCAACAACTCGGGTGTCAAAAGAAACTAGAATGGATAATCTATAACTTCTGAATGATTCATAAATGTACAGCCAGTAGATTTCATGTTATCGCATTGTAAAAATTGCCTTGTTTTCGAAAACAAATATTACCAGTTCTACCAAATCGATTTTCGCGCGAAGACTGCCATTTTGAAGGTCTTTCTTTTCCGTTTAAAAAGATGTAATAGATGTGGTAGTGCGATGCACAAAAGGAAACAAAACTGTGACTTGTTTAACACATTACACCCTAAGGGTCTGGACGGGAAGTCCGTTCCTAGATCCTAAGCAAGGGGAAGGAACCCACCTCCCGTGAATACTAGCCTTTAAAAAACACATTTTAAAAATACTAAACAAATTCCCAAAATCCTGAAAAAATAAAAGTTAAAAAGAAAACTGAATATTGTTTCAGAAAAATATAACTTTATGTATGCGCAAACTGTTGGAAATGTTCTAACTTTAGTTCAATCGGGGTGTCCGACCCGTCACTCTCACTCTCAGCCTCGCGGTCGGGCCCTAGATCTAAATTCTATAATTTCTCCGTCTGATCAATCGGAATCGCCCCAAACTCTTCCTACAACGTTTTCATCAAAATCTGAGCCATCTGATTTGTCACATGCTCGTTTTTGCTCAAATCCATCATTATTTCCGTTTTCGAACTCAATTGTGTCGCTTTTCAACAAGTCGAGGCACTTTCGAAGTGTCGGTAACGTGATCGCACTTCGATCAGCTCTAATACTAAAACTACTGGCCCGAAAAATTTCGTTTCGGTATCAAACGAAAGAAGAAACTTTTTGCTATACTATGCAAATCAAAATCCCGACCCCAGAGTCTCGTCAAGGCGAGACTTTCGTTTCTAAAGACGCCGGGTCGGCGTGGGCGGTTCCGGGCGAGTCAGGGTGGAGCGCGTAAGGGAATTCCTGGTCGAGTTAGGGTGTAATGTGTTAAACCCACCATAATGCGAGGCTTCACGGCCGGTCACTAGAGTCTACGTGGCGTTTCACGGCCGCGAGTGCATTCACTAAGCTGCCTGTAGTGAGCCATAAATTGTCATTTTTCAGTAGCAGGTATGAATGTTTGATATCTCAGCTTCTATCCTTCCCCTCCAAACCCCCATGTTTACAACCGATCAGCCGTGGTGGCGAAGCATTTGGGACAGGGTACTTCCAGGGTTAACTAGAATTTGGCGAGAGTGTGATCCTGTGAAGGGGGCATCTAATGAGAACAGAATTGTGTTGTTTGTATTCTTCAGTGTAGCATTATGTTACAGACATTGTGTTCTTGGGCTTACCATTTAAGATAATTAACCAATGAATATGGTGGGGTTGTGGTATAACGAGGAGAAAAGAATTGTCATTTTGCACGTACCGACTTTGATATAATTTGAGTGGGGGTTTTTTATTCTTCATTATAGTATTCCTGGGGTGTTTCATTTTCTGGTACAATGCTATTGTAAACGGCTGTTCCTCTAAATATTGAAGGGTTGATATAGAATTCAGAAAAGTTACCTGTAGTTTTTTGTCTGCCGTCACTCAGGTTTGAGTCCAGACTTGCAATCAATGGAACAAATTCGGCGGATTATGCGGCCGACGGATGTACCTGACCAGGGACTGCTCTGTGATCTTTTGTGGTCGGACCCAGACAAAGAGACTATGGGCTGGGGAGAGAACGACAGAGGCGTTTCCTTCACATTCGGAGCCGAGGTGGTGGCCAAATTCCTTCACAAACACGACTTGGATCTCATATGCAGAGCTCACCAGGTGAGGAACACTGCCATGTGTGCGGGGGGCACATTCTGCTAACTCAGTTTGTGGGTGAAATTGGGGGTTGACAACATTATTTTTGTTTTGAGAAAAGTTGACGGGAAGAAACGTGGAAGCTACCCTAGCCGTATATGTAGCCAAGTAGAGTGGCCTTATCTGAAAGAGGGTGGTTGGAGAAAGCTCTGGTGGTGTTTGCTCTTACTTTCCTTTCAAACAGACATAGTCCTTATCACCCCCCAGGACAGTGCCACAGACTGTAGTGTCTTTAGGCCATTCCCAAAGGGGGGACATTTCTCGTTCAAGCAAAGTAAAATTGTAAATGGGCTGATTCATGTCACGCTCATAACTGTGCCTGATCTACAACAGGGTGATCTACAACAGGGAACTGCTGCTTTTTCTTTCTTAATCCTATTGTCATTTTCCTCTACTTCTTTTGTATATTTGTCACTCTCTTGTAACTTGCTATTTCCGGGGTGCCTTGATAGTCGAAGCAGACTTTGTGCTGTTGAAGCTATAGAGAGGTGGGCTGAATAAGTCTGATTCCCTGTAAAGACTTCTGTGTTGACACCCACCCATTGGCGCTCATATGACCTTATGCAGTTGGGAGCGACGTAAAACCGTCTACTATTTTTTAAAATTAAAAAATAGTCCTTCTCTTTCTTTTCTTTGTATACTATCTAATCTTTGGCGCGTCTATTTTGAAAGTATGTTTTATTTTCTCTGTATTAAAAAAATTGTGACATAAAAAATGTTTTGATGACAATTTGTTGTGTATGGGATTCTACATTTCTTTTGTTTGGTGAAATGAAGCCATTTCTGTTTGGATATTTGGACCCGCCGTGAAGCTCTGAGCTAATGATGTTTCCTTTGCAGGTTGTGGAAGATGGCTACGAGTTCTTTGCCAAACGACAGCTGGTCACTCTGTTCTCTGCCCCCAACTATTGTGGGGAGTTTGACAATGCCGGCGCCATGATGAGCGTGGATGAGACACTGATGTGTTCCTTTCAGGTAAACACAGGCGTTTGTGTCAAAAAAAATTGTGTGTGTCAGATTTGTAGAAATGCTTACGGCATCGAACGAGCTGCAGGAAGTTCTCCACGCTTTCTTTTCACTTGTTCTCTGGCCAAGCGGCACGTGAAGCTTGCGCTTTTTACCAGAGTTTACAGGCAGAAATCTGAGAGGAGAAAGTTTTCCATTCTGTTGAGCTGGGGGAATGAGGGACACAAGCTTTTCTATTCTATCAGATTTGTTGTAGAACATGTTTTCCCTCGGGGTGCTCCCACCTCTAACCTATCTGATCTAGGACAAAGTTTTCAATAGCTCTGTAAAACGAAATCTCAGCCCCAGAGTCTCATCAAAGCGAGACTTCGTTTCTTAACCCACTCAGTACCATAACGGCCGTACCTGGCCGCTTCCGTTTCATAAACCTAGTACCATTACGGCTGTAGCCGGCCGCGCGCTAGTAGCGTTGTTTCTAGGGAAGTGTACACGCTTGGTAGCCATCGTATTTAACCCGCATTTCGACCAATCAGAAAATAGATAATCCTTCTCTCCTTGAGAGCAGCAGGGACATAACTCTGGAAATTTTAGTTGGACTAAATTCAATGTAAACAAACCAGTTCACACGGGTCGTGCAAGCTAAGATCGAGCGTTCTTCGCAAGCCGCCGGCACCGCTTTCAGACTGATTTAGGCGAACTTTTGGATAATTTTAATGAAAATAACTGTGCTGGGGGAGAAAACCCACAGAAAGGTAGCAATTTAAGTGAACGTGACATTGATGGTGATCTAATTGTGCCTTTGAGGGGGGATTCGGACAATGAGAATGAGGTCAATGAGGAGCATATGACTAGATCTAGATCTAGATCTAGATCTACAACTCGGCTGATTTTATCTTCAAATATGAAATACAGTCAACACATACAGTAAACAAGTAATTTATAAATTAAAATTTATTCATTTGTGAAGAATTTGTTTCAAGATTTTTTTTGATCAATGGATTGGTTATTTTATAGTGATTTTTTAAAAATACCCACTACATCACAAACACGGATTTATTCCCCTTTGCGTGGTCCTGAGCCATCTTCCCACTGAAAATCCAGTGGTACTGAGTGGGTTAAGAAGCCTAGTCAGAGCAGGCGATTCAGGGTGAGTTAAGGTGGAACGCATTTGGAATTTGTGGGGCGAGTTAGGGTGTAATGAGTTAATGTGTCATATGTTAGGGTGTAAGGAGTTAATGGGGACAGACACTTGACTTTATGACTGGTTTTGTTGAGATCACTCCAAAGTGTTCCTCGCTGCCAACATGAAAATGTCTTACATTTCTGTGGGTCATATATTTCTATTATGCTTCGGTACTTTCTATTCTATTCTTTACAGATTTGTATGGTGGGGCAATACCTTGGCTTTGAATTACGCTGTTTTGTCTGGCATCTTGTGTTTAGCATATATAAATATATATATATATAGAGAGAGAGAGAGTTCATCCTTCAGGGCAGGTCTTTTCCTGGTAGTACTGAGATTACTCTAGATTTATGATCCCTCAAAAAACTGGCAGTCCCTGTGTTGAGCCATTTTCATTGGCAAATAAAGTTTGAACAATTTCATAGCCAAGGTGTTGTTTTGTCAAAATGCTACAACATGAAAAATGTGACTTGTTGCATTATATTGTTACACAAAATAGGCCTAAAGTTGCGTAAGAAGCTGCTTGTTGGCTCAGTTTTTGGTTTGCTGATTCCACAATTTGATCATGGTGATTTTTCTGTCCTGTCCTGTCCTCAGATCTTGAAGCCGGCTGACAAGAAGAAATTTCCCTATGGAGGGCTGAACGCAGGGCGGCCTGTGACCCCGCCGCGTGGGAACCAAAAGGCCAAAGGGAAGATGTAAACAGTTGGGCTGAGGAGGATTCTTCTTGGATTGTTGGAATCATCGATCGACCACGGGCAGAACTTGCCGGCCATTGCAAGGGACATCCTCAATGTTTGTTGTTACCATCATCACTTTGGGGGGGGCATTCTTGATGAGTACTTGTGGTACCCCTCACACTGGCAAGTTTTTAGCTTTACATATACAAGGAATCATCATTCATCTCCCCGTGATTTTATTTTAGGGAGTTCAGCTGGTTTAGAAGCAAGATTTGGGGGGGGGGGGTGTTTGTCACAAGATACAGTTCATATTCCTGATGGTTTATTCATTTCAACTAACAACTGACAGTGACCAGCTTTAGCGACCACTTGTCTGGTGAGGGGTTTTGTTTCTGGATAGATCATCTCCTTGTCTTTATCAGCACCGTGTGCAAGGGCACACCCACCAATTGATGTGAGCACACCCCAGGAACAGATCTGCTCCTAGCCGTGACTGCCTCCCCCTTTCCTATGGCGGCCCTAACGTCCTCAACACTGGAAGCAATTGCCCTCCCAAAAGTCCTCCCTGGCGGCTCTCAAGTCCCGCTGTAGTGGGAGGTATTATGACAAGTTGGAGAGAGGAGCGAGACCAAGTGTCAGGGGCAAATGCTCCAATGTTGATGCAAGCTGGGGGGGGAGTCCCGCTGGCTCATGGGACCAGATCTGTTTCCTGTTGGCCCAGTGTAGAACAACTGACAGCCCACAACCCCTTTGTGTTTGTAGAAATAAAGCTGTATATATGCATTACTTCATGTCTTTGGTTTTCACTTCAAAACTTTCAAAATTTCATGTTGGACATTTTTGACAATTATTGCCATACCATGATAATTGTATAGTTTTCAGCGTAGAGACAGTCCAGTGGTGATTTTTTTTTTTTTTCGTGAGTGTTAAAATTTGATTCCATTTTTCTTTTTTAATTGCCAAAGCAGTTTGTGTAAAGTGGTTTAATTTTTTTTTTACATTTTATAATTTATAGAAATGGAAACTTCCTTTGAAATTGAGCTTAGGGAGTAACTATTGATGAAAATGTTTGAAATTTGAGAAAAGTGGAATGTGTGAGAGTGGAAGTGCCGCATGTGTATGTGCACAACAAACTAAATATACCATATTGATTCCATAATGTTGTCCATAGATAAGTTGTCTCCACCGGCGTATTGTTGGTACATGAGCGCCGTCTTCTCGTCTTGTTTGTTTGTTTGGTACATGAGCGCCGTCTTCTCATCTTGTTTGTTTGTTTGGTACATGAGCGCCGTCTTCTTATCTTGTTTGTTTTGCTACCAGTGGAGACACAGCACTGCTGGCAGCCAGGGGATGAACTCTTCCTGCGTGCGTCTGTGAGTGTGTATGGAAGTGTGTGCGTGCTGTGTGTGGTACCAGTGTGACCAGTCTCCTACGTCTTATCTCTGCACATTTTGACCGCTATCACTGGTCAACCCCCACCATGTTTCTCATCTTGTTCTGCTGGGTCACTCTTGTGCTTTGTGTGGACAGCCTGTGTGTCTATGTAGGGCTCATCACTGAGAGACTGGTTGTCCAGCTCATCACTGTGGGTGTCTGTATAGAGGTCCAGCTCATCTCTGTGGGTGTCTGTATAGAGGTCCAGCTCATCACTGTGGGTGTCTATAATATAGGGCTCATCACTGTGGGTGTCTATAATATAGGGCTCATCGCTGTGGGTGTCTGTATAGAGGTCCAGGTCCAGCACCACTGTGTGGTGGCCCCAGGAGAGTGGTGTTGTGTAGGGACTGGCTACGTTCACTGCTGCTGCGTCTGGTGTTGTGTAGGGACTGGCTACGTTCACTGCTGCTGCGTCTGGTGTTGTGTAGGGACTGGCTACGTTCACTGCTGCTGCGTCTGGTG